TTGTCACATAATCATGGCATCAGCATTATTAAAATAATAGAAAATGGAAACATTTGTAATTGTCTTTTTTTTAAGTCCATTAAAAACTAAAGATTCTTTTTTTTGTTTTTTTTTGAAACAGACGTTATGATAGTGTTATAAATCGACTGTACACTGGTATTCAGTGTTACTCTTGTGGAATGAGGTTTACAACATCACAGACAGATGTTTATGCAGATCACTTGGACTGGCATTATCGGCAAAATAGAACTGAAAAAGATGTTAGCAGAAAAGTCACTCATAGACGTTGGTACTACAGTTTAACAGTACGTACTCCATATGTCTCTGAACTGTCAACCTTTAAATTCTATCATTCTAAAAGTATATTAGTTTAAATCAAGCATGTCAAAGGCTAACACTGACCAAATAAACAAGGGTTAAGTTTATGTGGGCCGGAAAAAAACAAAAGCTTCAATTTTCATAGAAACGTAGGTTTACGAGATATGCTGAATACAAAGGTCTGAAATACATGATTAATCGTTAACATAATAGAACATTTTAATAAAAATTAATATTTCTTCTTGAACATTAACTTATCAGACATTGAATAACTGCACAAATTAATAAGCATAACACAAATAAACCCATTTTTCTTGTTCTCCGAAAGCGAAATATTTCCTGTTGTACACACCAAACAAGTTAGTCCAAGACTAATGACGTGGCAATTGGCTGCTAAAATATTCGCTGCTAGTGTTAGTGGAGAGAAATGGTGCGCCAGTGTATAAGGGAAATGAATGCAGCACGATTACAGTGATCAGTCATTAGTGAACGTTGTAGTTCATTATTAATAATTATGTATAACAGGATATTGTAAAAATTAAGTTACAAAATTTTTATTAAAACGTTTCTCACATACCATTATATTGGTTGGGCCACAAATATATTCATTGTGGGCCACATGTGGGCTGCGAGTTTGACATGCTTGGTTTAAATAATTGCTGGGATCTAACTTGTGAATGTTTTGAATAGTATTTGACCTCTAGAATATAAAAGGTGTTTTAAATAAAAGAAATTTGAACAGTATGTATTGTTTTTTGTTGAAATTAGAGAAGAACACAGATTTCTTCTAGGTCTAAAATTCCAAGTTGCTATGACTGATTTTTTTTTAATTGTACATAAAATTTATCTTTTTTAAATTTAGTATTTGTAAGTCTAGAGGCAATGAAAAATTAATATTAAGGTCTAACGTGTAATTAGTGGCTTTATATTGTCTATTAGTTATGGGGCTCAAAGAGAATACATAATTTTATTTACTTATTTTGACTCTTTTAAAACAAATATTGTTGAAAGAGAACACATAATTTTATTTTTTTTTAAATATATATTTTATTGATATTTTATAGAGAGGAAGGGAGAGGAATAGAGAGTTAGAAACATCGATGAGAGAGAAACATCGATCAGCTGCCTCCTGCACACGCCCCACTGGGGATGTGCCCTCAACCAAGGTACATGCCCTTGACCGGAATCGAACCTGGGACCTTTCAGTCCGCAGGCTGATGCTCTATCCACTGAGCCAAACTGGTTAGGGCGAGAACGCATAATTTTAAATAATATTAAGGTATATTGTAGAAGGCATCCATACCTTTAATTGGCATTATAATGAGTAAAAGTTTAGGAACAAACGAAAATATCTTCTTTTAAATCAACTCCTTTTTAGGACTGGATAGAATTTGAGGAAATAGCTGATTTGGAAGAACGTGCAAAGAGCCAGTTTTTTGAAAAGGTGCATGAAGAAGTTGTGCTCAAAACTCAGGAAGCTGCTAAAGAAAAGGAGTTCCAAAGTGTACCGGCAGGGCCAGCTGGAGCAGTGGAGGTAAGAAAAGAAAGTTAAATTTTCTACCTCTGGTCATGTCGCTCACTTTAAATAAACATATTTATCTACATCTCTCTTTCAGTGATACTAAGATTTCATGTAAGCTTTACTTTTCAGTTGTACTCTAATATGATTTGACTTGGGGTTTTATAACCACTGTAGTTATTTACATAACTGATAGCAGTGAAATGTTTGCTTTTTTTCCGTGGAAGAATGCAAAATTCTGAGAACTTATTTTGTATCTGTTGTATGTCAAACATTGTTTAAACTTTTCAGAAAACTCAAATCCTTCCACTTAATGTTTATGTATTTTTACTTAATGTGTTCTATTAGTACATTTCATTTTATATTACTCTATTTTAGAGTTGTGAAATCTGTCAAGAACAATTTGAACAAATCTGGGATGAAGAAGAGGAGGAGTGGCATTTAAAGAATGCCATTAGAGTGGATGGAAAGGTAATTTTCAGTTCTTTATAGGAAGCTTTAAAATTTGTGTTTTTTTTTGTAGGAGTAGTTCACCACTTTGAAAGAAACGTTTTTGTTTTTAATAAAAAAAGGTATTTCAGAGGTATTGGAATTTAGTCAGTGTTTGAGTTGGAAGGGATCTTAGCAGTCATCTTGTTCTAGACTCATTTATATAAGAAGTTGCATAACTAATTAATGATAAACCGAGGACTAAGTCTTCTGAATCTAGTTAGTCTTTCTGCCTAATCACACTTCATATTCTAAATTTGTTTCATTGAAACTGTTATTGCCTTGAAAGCATACCATGTTACCTACTTAAATGCAGAAAGCCAACTGTAAAGAGAAATCAGAATGAAAAATGTTTTAATCCATTTTTGTAAACAACTGATTTTTGTCTTCTTTCCAAACATAGTTATCTTCTGGTTTAAATTAGAAAAGAAAATCTTACTAGAGTAGCCATTACAAATGAATATACATGTGAATATCTACTTTTTTTCTTTTTTGCTCCAGATTTATCATCCATCATGTTATGAAGATTATCAAAATGTAAGTTCTTTTTGGTTACTGTTCTCATTAACATTAATAAATTGTTATTTTTTGCATCAGAGCATCATTGCTATTTTAATCTTATATTGGTGTTAGATTGATAGAATCTGATTTAAATTTCTTTATTCCTTGCATTCCATTCACTTCAATCATGATGACGTCTTTTACTACAGCACTAGTCATAGAGAAACGTGAGGAAAACAAAGATTTGAAGGATCATGATGGGACTAGGTTTCTAGAATTATGGGTAGCATATACTGCTTTTTTTCTTACATACTTCACTCAGCCATGTAATATAGGAATACTTTTTAAATGGTCACACATGAAATCTGAAAAAGATATCAATGTGTTTCCCTTAGAAATTCACACTTTTTTTTTTAATAGTGACCATTTTTTTAATCCAAACAATGGAACAGAACATACTGCCTTTCAAATATTTATTTCATGGGTTCAGAGAGGCAGTTTGGTAGATATATGTAGGCCATCAAAAGATTAGGCTTTTTAGTCTTGTTTTGTGGGGAAGCAGGTATTTCAGTTGCATGTGGTATATGAATGTTTCTTTGCCCATATAATTGTCCTATAAAACTCATTAAATTTTCACTTTGTAGACATCTTCATTTGATTGTACACCATCTCCCAGCAAGACACCAGTTGAAAACCCTTTGAACATTATGTTGAACATTGTCAAAAATGAATTGCAGGAACCCTGTGAAAGTCCCAAAGTTAAGGAAGAACAAATTGATACCCCACCAGCTTGTACAGAGGAGAGCATAGCAACACCCACTGAAATTAAAACTGAAAATGATACAGTTGAGTCAGTTTAAATAAAATGAGAAAGGTATGTTTTTCTTTTTTTAAAAAGCTGCTGTTTGGATGTAGGTGAAGAATTTTTTAATGTATATATAGAACTATCTATATAAATTGTCTAGCTGAGGCAGGGCCTTCAGCTATTATTTGGTTAATAAATACATTTTAGTATTTGCCTATCCTACTGACTGCACAGTTTCAGGTGCTTGTTGTGTGAAAGTTCTGTAGATGTGTGCAGATTTAACAAAATGAAATTGTATGTGTAAAAATGTACGATTTTCACTTGTGAAACTGTAAATTATAAATAAAAAATATTTTTGCTACCCCTGGAGTGTAATATTTATGCACACCATCAAATAAAGACAGTGTTTCTGTACTTTTTATTGGGTGAAAATGGAATTAAACAGCAACCTCAACATAAGATTTTTTTCTGGTAGTTCTCATGATTAAAGCAAAGTCTAAGTTAGTTTTATCCTTCAAAGGGGGGTTGAGAGAGAGCGCTGCAGGACTTTTCTCAAGAAAGCCAGATTTGAAAAAATTTTAGAAACAATAGGACATTTATGCATATATATATATATATTATATATATCTCCAGCTATAGAGAACCATTCAGATGTCCTTTTTTGAAAAATATCTAACGAAGCAACTTTTATTCTTTAACTTGGACATTGATGCCATCAAGTAATTAACGAATATATTTAAGTACTAAAGGTGACTTTTTTTTAATGGCATTTTTCAAATTTGTCACAATTTAATGCAGTGAACATATTTCTATTTTAAGTTACAGGGGAGTCTGTAAGAATGTTCATTTGAAACATGGTTAACCTTTTTCATTTGTTGGTTTTGACTGAATTAGATGGATACCATGAGATGTTAATATTCATACATGTAATAAATAGAATGATTAAGAAACTTGGTTTGTGTCTCTATTTCTTGAATGGCTTTAGCTTGTGACTTTTCTTCAGCTTTAAAACATGAAGTGGCACTTAAGAGCCTTCTATTGGAGGAGATAGGCATATAAAACTAATGAAAATTATAGCTTGTTGAGCATTTACTATGTGGTAGGCATTGATAAACATTTTACATATATTCCCTAGGACTTAAAAAAAATCCTATGATAGATGGTATCCCCACTTTACAGGTGAAATTGAATCACCTACTTAGGTGTAGAACAAGAACATAAAGCTGGCTTTGCTTCATTTTTGTGAACACAGTTTCTATAGTTAAGAAAAATGCTAGGATAGAAATAGGCACACCGAACCTCCTGGAGATAGGTTAAACAAGGCTTTATAAAGATGGTGATAGTTAAGCCTTGGGAGATAGCTAGCAGTGGAGTCCAAATTCCTGAGAAGACTATGGAGAATGAACAGCAAATGTAAACAATGTGTTTTTAAAAATTAAATTTTGTATGGTTAAAACCCAGATTATGTAGTCTTGGTCATAAGGATTTATTACACTGACAATGGGAGCCACTAGAAATTTTAACAAGTAATATCCTAATCTGCATCTAAGGTTGGATTTTCATTTTCAAAAAAATTTTAAGAGAGACTTTCAAATATAGAGAGGTCCAGTAAGAAAACTGGTTAACTATGTACTGGACTTTAGATGAACTTTTGAATATACAAGCATGGAAGAAATGCTGGGGTCTTGAGTTGAAAAATGTAGGAAGTTTCCTGTTGTGCCTCTTTTTGGGAAAGCCATCATAGTTTTTATCAAATGCTTAAAAGTACATGACTATCGCCCTGGCTGGTGTAGCTCAACTGGTTGGAGCACTGTCCCAAATCCTGAAAGGTGGTGTGTTTGATTCCCAGTTAGGACACATAGCCAGGTTGTGGGTTTAAGAGGTGACCAATGGATGTTTCTCCCTCTCCAAAATCAATAAAAACATACAAAATTAAAACAAAATACATTTCAATTAAAAAAAAGTATGTGAAGTCAAATGGAAGGTGGCATTTAAACCTAGAATACATAAAGTATCTGTATAAAGGAAGAAGTCTCTGGGGGAACATTTAGCTTTGCAGCTAATTCAGAGCAGAATTGAAGTAAAATAGGAAAACCAGTAATGAGGAAAACATTTCAAAGACTGGGTAATCAGGAAAATAAGGGATTGAGAAATTTCCCCTAATTATTGAGTGCCAATGCCAGTTGTGATGTGTGGGTTATGGGACAAGATAAGAGCTACTCCTAAGAAATTTAACTGGAGATTGAATTGTGGTTAGAACTCATTGGAAAGAAAGGTTGAAGAGATGACCAGTTGTAGCTGGAAAGACTATCGAAAGCACAAGAGAAATTAGCTTTAGAATGAAGGGACAACTTGGCTGGTATGGCTCAGTGAACCAGGTCACAGGTTCAATTCCTGGTCAGGGCACATTCCTGGGTTGCAGGCTTTATCCCCACTGTGGGGCGTGCAGGAGGCAGCTGATCAATGATTCTTATCGTTCTCTCCCTCTCCTTTCTCTGAAAAGTTTTTTTTTAAAAAATAGAATGGACAGTATTAAGATGGCCACAGATTTGGGGTCTGGAATTGAGAATTTCTAGTTTTTCTTTGAAGTAGGCGGCTAGATTTAGGGTAGTGATTTAGATACTTCCTCCTCCTCCAATTAGAGCTGTGCACTAGAATGACAGTGAGTGTTAAGAATAGATTACTTATCTCTGGAGAGTCACTTAATAGATTCTCATTCAGAAACACCTCTAGTATTTAAGATGCTCCATAATTATACTCAAAACTAATGTCAATTATATGAAGTTCCAGCCTGGCTCAGTGATTGAGGACCTATGAACCAGATCAGTTTGATTCCGTCAGGGTACATGCCAGGGTTTCAGGCTCAATCCCCATTAGTAGGGGAGCAAGAGGCAGTCAATGATTCTCATCATTTGTTTCTCTCTCCCCCTCTCTGAAATCAATACAAATATACTTTTTAAAAAGTTCTAAACAATTCTAACGAACAGGCAAAATCTCCTAACTGATCTAGAAGTCAGAGAACACTGAATTTTAGCCCCAAAAGATGGAAAAATAAGTTACAACATAGCACTGGGAACTAGAAATAATTTATACTGCAAAGTGTAGCAAGGAAAGCTGGAAAACTTAAAGATGGAATATTTTCATTTGAAATGAGTTTGTGAGAATAAAAGGAATTGCGTATTTCTTGAAAACTACAAATTTCACTGTTTATACCCTATACAACGTCAATTTACCTACTTAAAACTTTCATGTTGTGGAAAATACTACAGTGACCTGTTATTCAGCTAATAACAAGCTTTTAGGGATAAAAATAGGACCTAATTACCTATTAAAAGATTCTCATATAACAGCTTAACAAATAGAGAATTCTATTTTCCTGGCTGGCTTTCTTTACAGCCTATTTTAGTGCCTAATAAATGCTCTGAAAGGTTTATACAAAATACTCAGGAAAATATGAGGCATCTAACCATGTCTCCAAGTGAAAAAATTTAGCTGACTAAAAAGGTAATCTGGAGGTAGAAATGGAAAGTCAGACTATTGTCAAGGCCTGAACTTCAGCAGCAGTAGTTAAGTTTTTCCCTAATTCTATATGGGGTCAGCTCCCTGAACTAATGGACACTTCGTTGGGCAGGTGAGGAAGAAAAAGTTAAAGAAAAAGCCAAAAAGCATCAGTGGGATGCCCAGAGGGAGAGCAAGAAGGCCTGGAAAGCATGAGGGAACAAAGTAGAGATGGTTACCAAAATCCTTAGTTCAATTTTTGGTCAGGGGTTGGCCCTATTTCCTTCTCTGGAACTAGATGCAGACCTGATTAATTACCCAACTTTGGAAATCCTAAGGTAGACAGGTGGAGGACTATCCATTTTTACTAGTTGGAATCATAATCTTCCTACTTACAAAGGGTTCCAATTATCTGGAATGCTGATGCCCACTTCCCACCTGAAAAACTTCCTTAATGCCAGTCCCTTACTTACCTTGAAAACCTATGCAATCTGGCTCTTACATCTTGGTTCTTCATTAACATTGCTCTCGAGTATTATGACGCCTTGCCACAACGAATGTGCTTTTATTAGCCTCTTAACCTCTCCTGGCCCATGTACTCCTTAAAGTATCTTTTGCTTTATGTGACAATACATGTCTTCCTGTGCTTTGCTGTTTTTACTTACAAAAAGTTAAATTTTAAAAATCAAATTTAAGTACAGAAAAGTCTTCTTTCACATCCTCTTTCCTGTTACATAAAGTAACTGCTGAGTTAACAATTTGTTAGGTTCTTTTTTCATTTACCATTTCTTATAACCCTTTCCATGTTGCTAAATGTACATAGATGTGTAATTTAGCCATCCTTTCACTGATGAATATTCAAATTTCTAATTATTTACCATTAAAAAGTGTTGCAACGACTATCCTAGTACATATAAGTTATTTGAATATTTTACAACTCGATAATTGCTGGCTCAAGCATAACGTACATTTGGAATTTTGACAGTGTGAAATTGTCCTTCATGGGTCCCACCACTTTAGTTGTTCACCAGCAGTCTTCAGAGTACTTGTTTAGACCACCTCTAAACATTCATTATCCATAATCTTTTAGTTTTTATCATTGTGATGTCTCAACAGTCTGAGTTTGAGTATCCTCTTTTGCTAATTTGCTCTTGGTATTTTTATCATGTTTTTTGCTAATTCTATTGTTATTCTTTCTCACTGAAAACAAATTTTCTGTATTGTCTCTTAAGACTTTATAATTGTTAATAACTTTAATTCTGAAATTTCTGTATATGAAAATATTGAAGAACTTATATTTCTCTATTTGAAAATCTCTGCCTCTATAATGGGGTTATTTCTGGACTCTAGTTACACTAATCTCTTTGTCTAGTCCTGTTCTAATACCACCCTGTTCTAAATAGTCTAATTTTATAGTTCTAATATGTATGTGGGTTAAGTCTCATTAATTGATCTTTTCCAAACATGTTTTGGTTAACCTAGCATATTTAATCTTCCAGATAAACTTTAAAATCATCTTGCCAACTTCCACTAAAAAATTACATTAGATTTTTACTTCAAATGCAACAAATTTACTTTCAGGAGAATCCTATCTGCAGTACTGAACCTCCTCACACAGGAACATAGCATCTTTCCCTTTACTCAGTAACATCCATAAATGAAGTTTTGTTTTTCCCATGTAGATTTTGCTTATTTCTTCATAGATTTATTCTTAGATTTCCCCACTGTTGCTGCTAATGTGAATGAAATCTTTCTTTACATTTACACATTTATTTTAGTTTATAGGTAATCTTACTTCTGTATGTTGCCCTGCTAGCTCTCCATCTTACTGAACTCTTTTCTAATACTTAATATTTTAGTTGTCTTATATTTTCCAGGTAAACAATGACATCACTTGTCTTAATTTCTTTTTTTCCAATTTCATACCTTATTTATCTTGCTTATTATTACACTGGGTCCAAAATTCTCAGGACAATGTTGACTTGCAGGACTGATAGTAGATAACCTGGACTATTAACATTAAATGTGTTATTTGTTCCTTCAGTTAAGTAAGCTTCCTTTTATTACTTAATATGAATTTTATCTTCTTTTTGAATAAGTAATAGATGCTAACTTTTCAAGTGATTTTTCAGTATCAATTAAGATCATATAGTTTTTCTCCTTTATTAGGAAATTTTCATTGCTATATTGTCTAATGTTAACCCATCCTTGTACTGGTAGGATAAACCCAACTTGGTTATGACATTATTCTCTAAATGCACTGTAGGCTTTATAGTTCCCTTAGGATAGCTGTATATACATTGATAAGTGAGACTGAGATGTAAGTTTTTTCCCCTCCCTCTCCTTATTTATGATACTTCACAGTGGGAAAGTATTCCATTCTTTCTGCTTGTTCTTGGTAACTTTTGTCAGAGCTACATAGGTCATTCTTTTATGATTATCAGCTTATTAA